AGCAGCTCGGAGAGAGCCAAGGCCAGGAGTCCAGCCCCACCGTCACCTGGACACAGGGTCAGGGAATCAGCCCCGTGTCACCCTGTGACTGTGTCTCTCTGTCTGTGTGTGTCTCTGTAGCTCTGTCTGTTCTGGGTCTCACTGTGTGTCTGTACCTGTGTCTGTCTCTCTGTGTGTCAGTACATATATTTGTGTCTCTCTGTGTGTCCGTACCTGTGTCTGTGTCTCTTTGTGTCTCGTTACCTGTGTCTGTCTCTCTGTGTATCTGTACCTGTGTCTGTGTCTCTATGTTTGTCAGTACTTGTGTCTGTGTCTCTCTGTGTCTCTGTACCTGTGTCTGTCCCTCTCTGTGTGTCTGTAGCTGTGTCTGTCTCTCTCTGTATGTGTGGACCTGTTTCTGTGTTTCTCTTTGTGTCTGTACCTGTGTCTGTGTCTCTCTATGTGTCTGTTCCTGTATCTGTGTGTCTGTACATGTGTCTGTGTCTCTCTGTGTGTCAGTACCTGTATCTGTGTACGTGTACATGTGTCTGTGTCTCTCTGTGTGTCTGTACCTATGTCTGTCTCTCCCTTTGTGTCTGTACCTGTTTTTGTGTCTCGCTGTGTGTCTGTACCTGTTTTTGTGTCTCTCTGTGTGTCTGTACCTGTTTTTGTGTCTCTCTGTGTGCCTGGCCCTTTGTATGTGTCTCTCTGTGTGTCTTTCCTATGTTTCCTGATCCTCACCTACAAGGCCATTCACGGCCTTGCTCCCTCCTACCTCTCCAACCTACTATCCCCCTACCTACCTGTCCGTACCCTCCGTTCCTCTGGCTCCGGTCTGCTCCACATCCCTCGCCCCAATCGCCCTACCATCGGTGGTCGGGCCTTCAGCCTCTCAGCCCCGAGGCTCTGGAACTCCATCCCCAGTGCCTTCGCCGCCTCCTCCCTCTCCTCCTTCAAGGCCGGTCTCAAAACCTTTCTCTTTGACCGTGCCTTCAGCTCCCCTCTCGACTCTCTTCCCCTCCTCGCTCCCTCCCTTCCCTCCCCTCACCCTGACCATTTCCCCCTCCTCCCTTCCCTCCCCTCACCCTGACCATGTCCCCCTCCTCGCTCCCTCCCTTGCCTCCCCTCACCCTGACCATTTCCCCCCTCCTCGCTCCCTCCCTTCCCTCCCCTCACCCTGACCATTTCCCCCCTTCTCGTGTCATGACACAACTGTGCAGCGCCTTGGGACGTCCTCCTGACGTGAAAGGCGCTTTGTAAATTGAATCTTGTTGTTGATGTTGTTGTTTGTGTCTCTCTGTGTATCTGTACATGTGTGTGTGTCTCTCTGTGTGTCAGTAGATATATTTGTGTCACTCTGTGTATCTGTTCCTGTGTGTGTGTTTCTCCCTTTTTGTCTGTACCTGTTTTTGTGTCTCTCTGTGTGTCTGTGTCTATGTTTGTGTCTCTTTGTGTATCTGTACCTGTGTGTGTGTGTCGCCCTTTGTGTCTGTACCTGTTTGTGCGTCTCTCTGTGTGTCTGTACCTGTGTGTGTGTCTCACTGTGTGTCTGGACCTGTGTGTGTGTCTCACTGTGTGTGTGTGCCCGTGCGTGTCTCTCTCTGCCTGTGTATGTCTCTCTCTGTCTGTGTCTCTCTGTACGTCTGTACCTGTGTGTGTCTCTCTGCCTGTGTTTGTCTCTGCGGTGCTGTCTGTGGTGTCTGCCCGTGTGTGTCTCTCTATCTCTCTGCCCGTCTGTGTCTCTCTCTCTGTCTGTCTGTGCGCCTCCGGTGACTGATCGACACTCTCAGGTCCTGCCGATGAGCCGGGCCGGGCTGTGCCGCTATCAGCAGTGAGTGCCCCAGGATACTGTGATCCCTCCGCGCTCAGGAACCGGGGACGAGAGACCGTCACAGAGGCTCCATTCCCACACTCGTTGACAAGCTGCAAGTCAAGTCCACTGAGACCCTGTTAACCCGCCCACAAGGAGTAGAAGGGATTTTACTAAGACAATTGTGGGATGTTACACAGAACAGTAAAGTGTTACAGCACTTTAATATTCCTTTATTGGAACACACGTTCACATACAGTGAATATTTATACACCTCAACTGCACAACAGCCGTCAGGAGAGATCTTGCAATGTATGTTTTATCTTTTGACAATATTCTTGAGTGTTGGTCAAAGGTTTCTTTGATAACAAGGAAGGGAGAGCAATACAGGTTAATAATTATTTCATTGGAACTGGTAATTTTCGAACTTGCAACACTTTTACGAGCTGTTTAATGACTTACTGGAAACATGGTGCGGTCTTCTATATCACCTGTTGTGTCAGTGTTTCTCAGCTCTTCTTGATTTATTGTGTATCAGCAATAGGAGAAGCTGCTCTGTGGAGCTGTCTGGTTTATGCCAAACATGTCACCTTGGGGCCAGTTCAGCTCCAAGCAGAACCCGCTCACCTCCCACCCTCAGTGGGCAAAGGCACATTCAAAGACAAATGGCTTTTGACAGTCGAGATGGAGGGAGGAAAGTGAAGGGCTTCAAGATAAGGATATAGGAGCCGGGAGCAAGTTGACATTCTCCACGTCCACCAGCTTTTGATCTTGTCTACCCTACCATCGACCATTGAGACTTGATCTTCTCTACCCCCACCATCTGTAACTCTATCCCACAGTCACGTCACATCACTACTTTCCTCACCTCCTGCAAGACCAGTCTCAATACACTCCTCTTTGACCAAACATGCCTTTGGCCAACTTCTTATCCCTACCATCACAGCCTTCCATCCCTCCTGATCCCACCTCCAGCTCGTATCCAAATCCCTGACTGTCCAGTTCCTTGGAACGTCCTCCTGACACGAAAGGCCCAGGTCAGTGTAATTTGCTGTTTCAGAGCAGGGGATGGTATGACAGTTTGACTGGGGTCTGGAGCGTGAAACAAAACGTGTTTAGTTGATTTCTATACCCTCTAACTCATTTTAATATCACTTCACACCATCGTACCTCCCAATTTCTCCTAACTACTGAAGCCCTCTACACCACTCAATGACTCTGGCCAGATGGCTCCAACCTCCTGTTTGTCTCTTGTACTATCCGATCACCATCAGTGGTCTCGCTTTCATCCACTAAGACACCCAATTCCGAATGTATCTTCCCCAATGGCTTTAACTTGCTCTCTCTTTCCCCACCTTCAAATCCCGCCCAGAGATTCCATGTTTGATCGTGTTTATGGTCACAACCCCACTCCCTGTCCTCCAGGCTAAGAGTCAGACTCCACCACTGTCAAGAGCTCTGGTTTACTACCCCGCATAAAGGGCGCTGTGTAAAGGCAACTTTTTCTTGTTGACTTGCTCCACAGGATCAAGATTCTATCGGAAACCAAGAGAGGTCAGAACAACCCTTTATACAGTTAGACAAACTGATTTTAATATACAAATGGATACTGTTGTTCAATAACAATCAATATCTATAATCTTCCCATGTAAACGATAATAGTCAATCTCTTTCTCTCTTGGTCTATAGACATGCACCCACACAGCACCCATATCGTTTTTTGGCGAGAGCCTTGGCTTAGGGGAACCTTGAGTATGATTTGGGGTAACATATGGGAATATAGCAAAGTATCCAGTTCAAATCATAGGTGCTACCTGTGTGAAGGTAGTTGTACAAATGTAATCGTTTTTTGAATTATAATTTACGTCTGAGAAGCTTTTCCGCTGCGTGTCCAACCAAGACCAACCTATCAGCTCGTGACGGCTTTGCCTCCACGGATAACAGTTGCTGAATTGGAGAAATCACTGCCTCCATATATATCTTTCAGCCCTCCCGGGTCCTGTCGATGAGCCTGGGTTGTGTTGACATCAGCAGTGCCCTGGGACACTGTGGACCAACCTGGCGCAGGAACCGTACTGGAGAAGATAACAGAGGTCTGGCTCGATTCCTGAATTCCATCACCGAGCTCCAGATCAGGTACAGATCAGGGAATGGCTGGAGTGATGGGTGTGTGAAACCAGATTGGTGTGAGTACATGGATAGAGAGATCTGAATCATTTCAATGTGATGCTGGAGCTCAGGAGAATGGCACAGAGGGCATTGGAAAATCAAAGTGGGATGTGACAATAGATATATTTGTCTTATTGGTGTAGACGTGGAATCTGGGCCATCGGATCTGATCACAAGAGTGATCAAACTGTACACGCTACTGATTTTATATGGCATCGTTTAGCTGGTGGCAATATTCTTGAATGTTGTTCAAAGATTTCTCTGTTAACCAGGTAATGAGAGCTAAACAAATAAAAAATTATTTGATTAGATCTGGTCCTTTTCAGTCTTGCAACACATTTACAAGCTGTTTAATGACTTACAGGAAACAATGTGTGGTCTGGTATATCACTGCTGTGTCAATGTTTCTCAGCTCGTCGTGACTTATTGTGTATCAGCAATAGGAGAAGCTGCTCTATGGAGCTGTCTGGTTTATGCCGAAGATGTCACCTTGGGGCCAGTTGAGCTCCAAGCCGAACCCGCTAACCTCCCAACCTCAGTGGGCAAAGGCACATTCAAAGACAAGTTGACTCTTACAGTATAGAGGGAGTGAGGAAAGTGAAGGGATTAAAGACAAGAATACAGGAGCTGGGAGAAAATTGGATGAAAGTTCTCCATTAACTATGGGGAGAGAATGAGGATGAAGAGTTAAACAAGAAAGGAAGGGGTTGAGGTTTATAGGAACCCAGATAGAGAGGTACAGAGTGTGGTGGGGGGAGTGGGGGGCGGGGGCGGTGGTGCATAGTGTGTGGGTGGGTGGGGGGTGGGGGTGGTGAAGGAAAAGAGACAATTGAAGGTTAGAACTGAGATTGTAAAGCACAAGTCATCATTTTATTAAAAAATCAATGTGAATCCTGGTGTGTTGCGGGAGGAAGGAGGTGGCGGGTGTCGCTTGGGGGGAGGGGAGATTGTCTGCTGGGAGAGGGAGAGATTGTTTTTGGGGAGGGGGAGATTGTGACGGGTGGGTGAGCGGTAATTAAAGGGTAGTGAACTTGTTGCAGATGTGGGAATGAGGAGATCTTCTAAAAGTTTTGATTAATCAGAAGATATCAATCAGGAGAGTAAATGCCCAGGAGGCCCCTCCCCGATAGGGAATATCCAAATGTTCAGGAGACGGATCGGGATTATTGGTCTCAGGGTCTATTCCTGGTTCCATATTTACTGGTACTCTTAACTTCTCCCTCTGACTCCTCACCCTGATTGGACCTGTTGTTTGGTGAACTTTGGTCCATTTCCCCATCAAACATTTCCTTCGTCCAAATCTTGGTGGTTGCTCACAATCCTGAATCCCCACGTGAGGCCGTGTGAATCAGAGTGAAGTGAACTCTGTCACATGGCGGGACACACAGCATAAATACCCGGAGCCTGAAGGAGTTTGGAACAGATAGACTCCGGGTGACCAGGACTTCTAGTCATCAGGTTCAGGCTCTGACCGAGAAGCTAAACTGCGTCATTTGTCTGGAATTCTCTAAGGTTCCTGTTTGCCTCGATTGCGGCCACAAATATTGTCGGTCCTGTATCACCGGGAGACGGGAAAAGCAGGGAAAATCCTCCCGTCCGGAATATCGCCAAGGTACTGCAAAGAGGATCCTCAAGGTCAATTGGGCTCCCTTCGACGGCGGCAAAAACGGTGACCCTCTGAGGATCTGTCGGGTGACGGATTGATGAGGAGGGAACCCTCAGTGGGTTTCACAATCAGCGGGTTTCACAAGAAGAGACTTGAGGAGGGTTTATCCGCCCAGTGACTGGGAGCCGCCCACACACTCGCACTGAAACCAAAACCAGTTTCAATCAGCATTTCCTGAGTATCCAAATGGCTTCCAGACTCCAGGCTGAGAGCTTGACCGAGGAGCTAAACTGTGCCATTTGTCTGGAGTTCTTCACTGATCCTGTTAGTCTGGACTGCGGCCACAACTTCTGTCGCTCCTGTGTCGCCGGGAGCTGGGAAAAGCAGGAGAAAAACTCCTGTCCGATATGCCGCAAAGTTACTGCGGATAGGGAACTCCAGGTCAATTGGGCTCTGGCCAAAATGGTGGGGAAAGCTCGTGAATTCAGTCTGGACCCGACACAGGCGGCAGTTAAACGTCAGTGTGAGAAACACCGGGAGGACCTGAAGCTGTTCTGTGAAGATGACAAGAAGTTGATCTGCTCCATTTGCAGAGATGCGAGAGAGCACAGAGGTCACAGCTTTCTGCCCATTGACGAAGCTGCTGAAATCTACAAGGTACCGAGACCCTCACAACAACAACAACAACAAGATTCCATTTATAAAGCGCCTTTCACGTCAGGAGGACGTCCCAAGGCGCTGCACAGTTGGGTCATGACCCGAGCAGGGGGGAAATGGTCAGGGTGAGGGGAGGGAAGGGAGGGAGCGAGGAGGGGGGAAATGGTCAGGGTGAGGGGGGGGAAGGGAGGGAGCGAGGAGGGGGAAGAGAGTCGAGAGGGGAGCTGAAGGCACGGTCAAAGAGAAAGGTTTTGAGACCGGCCTTGAAGGAGGAAAGGGAGGAAGCAAGGCGAAGGCACTGGGGGATGGAGTTCCAGAGCCTGGGGGCTGAGAGGCTGAAAGCCCGACCACCGATGGTAGGGCGGTTGGGGCGGGGGACATGGAGCAGACCGGAGCCAGAGGAACGGAGGGTACGGGCAGGTAGGTAGGGGGATACTAGGTTGGAGAGGTAGGAGGGAGCAAGGCCGTGAATGGCCTTGTAGGTGAGGATGAGGATCTTGAAATCAATCCTCTGGGGGATGGGGAGCCAGTGGAGGCGAGTGAGGGTGGGTGTGGTGTGGTCGCGGTGTCTGGTGCGGGACAGTACACGAGTTGCAGAGTTCTGAATGACCTGCAGCTTGTGGAGGGAGGTGGCGGGAAGGCCGGCGAGGAGAGAGTTCCCATAGTCCAGCCTTGAGGTGACAAAGGCGTGGACCAGGGTTTCAGCAGCGTGAGGGGTGAGGTAGTGCCGTAGTCTGGCGATGTTCCGAAGGTGATGGAAGGCGGTGCCAGTTGTAGTGCGGATGTGAGGGAGAAAGGACAGCTCAGGGTCGAACAAAACGCCGAGGTTCCTGACTGGCTTTGAGAGGTGGAGAGTGCAGCCTTGGATGCAGATGGTGTCAGCGCCTGAGGTGCGGAGGCGCTGACGTGAGCCAATCAGGAGGGCCTCGGTTTTTCGCACGTTGAGCTGAAGAAAGTTGTCTCTCGTCCAGGACTCGATGTCGGACAGGCAGCTGTCAGGAGGCATTCATTCCGTTTCCACGTCAGGTTTTCCCCTCAAACCCTGTTATTCTGTGCGTTTATTCCAGGATCAAGTGAAGTCCTCCATAGCTTCTCTCACACAGAGGAAGGAAACTGCTCTACAAACTGAAGCCAAACAGAGAGAAAAGATTTCACAAGTTAAGGTAAGTTGTGTCGGGGCTGATGTCTGCCAGTGAGTCTCTGGTTACTGTGTGTACACGATGTCATGTCTCAGTGTCTCTGGTTACTGTGTGTACACGGTGGGATGTCTACGGTCTCTGGTTACTGTGTGTACAGGGTGTGATGTCTCAGGTCTCTGGTTACTGTGTGTAACGGTGTGATGTCTCAGGTCTCTGGTTACTGTGTGTAACGGTGGGATGTCTCAGGTCTCTGGTTACTGTGTGTACACGGTGTGAATGCTCAGGTCTCTGGTTACTGTGTGTACACGGTGGGATGTCTCAGGTCTCTGGTTACTGTGTGTAATTGTTGGATGTTTGACATTTTCAGGAACAGGTGAAGAATGTACAGACTCACGTCAAGGCTGAGTTTGCTAAAATGCACCAGAGTCTGACTGACAGAGAGCAGCGAGTGATGGGGGATCTCAGACAGCGAGAGGAGGAGATTCTAAAGCGAATGGAGACAACTCTGCGAGAGATTCGGGGAAAGTTAGAGTCTGTGGAGCAAGAACTCTCCGAGTTACAGACACAGATGGGGAAAGACGCTCTCACCTTCCTGCAGGTAAAGAGATGACATTATAATGCAGTTCAGTCACAGTTACACACAGTCGGGAGCCGACAAACTAATTTTGATTGACAAAGAGATCAGAGATTGAATTGGGATGTGGGAGACGCTGTACACATGTAATCTGTTGTTGTTGTTGGTGTCTCAGTGTGAGCTGACATCTGTCTGTGTTTGATTTCATTAGGAGGAATCTGCTGCCAACAGAAGGTATGGAATGACCTTTACCAAATATCCCAGAATTGAACCCACAAACCACCCACAAGGTGCAGTTTCACTCTATAATGTGATGGGGTCTTGTTTCAGGGTCAGTGACGAGGGGTTTGATCTGTCAGTGTGTGAGGCTGAGCTGCCGGTGGCCAAGTACAAGTGGCCTTTGAAGAACACCGTCTGGAGAGAGATTATAGACAGCGTCAGTCCAGGTACACGTCTCCCATTCTCACCCTGAAGCCGTGTCAATAGCCTTCCATTGACAACACATACCCCCACACACTCCCTCACACACACTCCCTCACACACACACACACCCCTCAGAAACACACACCCTCACACACGCACTCAAACACACCCCTCATACACACACCTCAGGCCACACACCCCTCCCGCACACTCCCCTCACACAGGAGGCGAGAGCACAAGTCTGAGGTGGTGGAGCAGGAGGGGCTGCAGTCGAGTGACCGAGAAGCTAAACTGCGTCATTTGTCTGGAATTCTCTAAGGTTCCTGTTTGCCTCGATTGCGGCCACAAATATTGTCGGTCCTGTATCACCGGGAGACGGGAAAAGCAGGGAAAATCCTCCCGTCCGGAATATCGCCAAGGTACTGCAAAGAGGATCCTCAAGGTCAATTGGGCTCCCGACGGCGGCAAAAACGGTGACCCTCTGAGGATCTGTCGGGTGACGGATTGATGAGGAGGGAACCCTCAGTGGGTTTCACAATCAGCGGTTTCACAAGAAGAGACTTGAGGAGGGTTTATCCGCCCAGTGACTGGGAGCCGCCCACACACTCGCACTGAAACCAAAACCAGTTTCAATCAGCATTTCCTGAGTATCCAAATGGCTTCCAGACTCCAGGCTGAGAGCTTGACCGAGGAGCTAAACTGTGCCATTTGTCTGGAGTTCTTCACTGATCCTGTTAGTCTGGACTGCGGCACAACTTCTGTCGCTCCTGTGTCGCCGGGAGCTGGGAAAAGCAGGAGAAAAACTCCTGTCCGATATGCCGCAAAGTTACTGCGGATAGGGAACTCCAGGTCAATTGGGCTCTGGCCAAAATGGTGGGGAAAGCTCGTGAATTCAGTCTGGACCCGACACAGCGGCAGTTAAACGTCAGTGTGAGAAACACCGGGAGGACCTGAAGCTGTTCTGTGAAGATGACAAGAAGTTGATCTGCTCCATTTGCAGAGATGCGAAGAGCACAGAGGTCACAGCTTTCTGCCCATTGACGAAGCAAGATAAGGATATAGGAGCCGGGAGCAAGTTGACATTCTCCACGTCCACCACCCGGTCCACCTTCATCGACCATTGAGACTTGATCTTCTCTACCCCACCATCTGTAACTCTATCCCACAGTTACTTCACATCAGTACTTTCCTCGCCTCCTGCAAGACAAGTCTCAAGAGACTACTCTTTGACCAAACATGCCTTTGGCCTACTTCTTATCCCTACCGTCACAGCCTTCCATCCCTCCTGATCCCACCTCCAGCTCGTATCCAAATCCCTGACTGTCCAGTGACTTGGAACGTCCTCCTGACATGAAAGGCCCAGGTCAGTGTAATTTGCTGTTTCAGAGCAGGGGATGGCATGACAGTTTGCCGGGGGTCTGAAGCGAGAAAAGAAAGGGGTTCAGTTGACTTCGATACCCTCTCACTCGTTTTGAAATCAGTTGATGCCATCGCACCTCCCAACCACTCCTGCCCGCTGAGACCCCACTGAGACACAGCATCCATATCGTTTTTTGGCGAGAGCCTTGGCTTAGGGGAACCTTGAGTATGATTTTGGGTAACATTTGGGAATTTAGCAAAGTATCCAGTTCAAATCATAGGTGCTACCTGTGTGAAGGTAGTTGTACAAATGTAATCGGTTTTTGAATTATAATTTACGTCTGAGAAGCTTTCCCGCTGCGTGTCCAACCAAGACCAACCTATCAGCTCGTGACGGCTTTGCCTCCACGGATAACAGTTGCTGAATGGGAGAAATCACTGTCTCCATATATCTTTCAGCCCTCCCGGGTCCTGTCGATGAGCCTGGGTTGTGTTGATATCAGCAGTGCCCTGGGACACTGTGGACCAACCTGGCGCAGGAACCGTACTGGAGACGATCCCAGAGTACAAATCAGGGAATGGCTGGACTGATGGGTGTGTGAAACCAGATTGGTGTGAGTACGTGGATAGAGAGATCTGAATCATTTACATGTGATGCTGGAGCTCAGGAGAATGGCACAGAGGGCATTGGAAAATCAAAGTGAGATGTGACAATAGATATATTTGTCTTATTGGTGTAGACATCTAATCTGGGCCATCGGTTCTGATCACAAGAGTGATCAAACTGTAACGCTACTGATTTTATACGGCATCGTTTGGCTGGTGGCAATATTCTTGAATGTTGGTCAAAGATTTCTCTGTTAACCAGGTAATGAGAGCAAAACAAATAAAAAATTATTTGATTAGATCTGGTCCTTTTCAGTCTTGCAACATATTTACGAGCTGTTTAATGACTTACACGAAACAAGGTGTGGTCTGGTATATCACTGCTGTGTCAATGTTTTTCAGTTCGTCGTGATTTATTGTGTATCAGCAGTAGGAGAACCTTTTCTGTGGAGCTGTCTGGTTTATGCCAAACATGTCACTTTGTGGACAGTACAGCTCCAAGCAGCTAACCTGCCACCCTCAGTGGGCAAAGGCACATTCAAAGACAATTTGACTGCGACAGTATAGAGGGAGGAAGGAAAGTGAAGGGATTAAAGACAATAATACAGGAGCTGGGAGCAGATTGGATGAAAGTTCTCCATTAACTGTGGGGAGAGAATGAGGATGTAGAGATAAACAAGAAAGGAAGGGGATGAGGGTTGTAGGAACCCAGATAGAGAGGTACAGAGTGTGGTGGGGGGAGTGGGGGGCGGGGGCCGTAGTGGATAGTCTGTGTGTGTGTGGGGGGGGGGGGGCGGTGGGGGTGAAATGAAAAGAGACCATTGAAGGTTAGAACTGCGATTGTAAAGCATAAGTCATCATTTTATTAAAAAATCAATGTGAATCCTGGTGTGTTGCGGAAGGAAGGAGGTGGCGTGTGTCGCTTGGGGGGAGGGGAGATTGTGTGGTGGGAGAGGGAGATTTTGTAAGGGAAGATTTAATGGTGGGAGGGGAGAGATTGTTTGTGGGGAGAGGGAGATTGTGTGAGGCGAATTTGTGTGGTGAGGGGAGAGGTTGTGTGTGGAGTGGGGAGATTGTGACCGGTGGGTGGGTGGTAATGAAAGGGTAGTGAAATTGTGGCAGATGTGGGAATGAGGAGATCTTCTGAAAGTTTTAATTAATCAGAAGATATCAATCAGAAGAGTAAATGCCCAGGAGGCCCCTCCCCGATAGGGAATATCCAAATGTTCAGGAGACGGATCGGGATTATTGCTCTCAGGGTCTATTCCTGGTTCCATATTTACTGGTACTCTTAACTTCTCCCTCTGACTCCTCACCCTGATTGGACCTGTTGTTTGGTGAACTTTGGTCCATTTCCACATCAAAACTTTCCTTCGTCCAAATCTTGGTGGTTGCTCACAATCCTGAATCCCCACGTGAGGCCGTGTGAATCAGAGTGAAGTGAACTCTGTCACAGGGCGGGACACACACAGCATAAATACCCGGAGCCTGAAGGAGTTTGGAACAGATAGACTCCGGGTGACCAGGACTTCTAGACATCAGGTTCAGGCTCTGACCGACCGAGAAGCTAAACTGCGTCATTTGTCTGGAATTCTTTAAGGTTCCTGTTTGCCTCGATTGCGGCCACAAATATTGTCGGTCCTGTATCACCAGGAGACGGGAAAAGCAGGGAAAATCCTCCCGTCCGGAATATCGCCAAGTTACAGCAAAGAGGAACCTCAAGGTCAATTGGGCTCCCCCCGACGGCGGCAAAAAAAGTGACCCTCTGAGGATCTGTCGGGTGACGGATTGATGAGGAGGAAACCCTCAGCGGGTTTCACAATCAGCGGGTTTCACAGTAAGAGACTTGAGGAGGGTTTATCCGCCCAGTGACTGGGAGCCGCCCACACACTCGCACTGAAATCAAAACCAGTTTCAATCAGCAATTGCTGAGTATCGAAATGGCTTCCAGACTCCAGGCTGAGAGCTGGACCGAGGAGCTCAACTGTGCCATTTGTCTGGAGTTCTTCACTGATCCTGTTAGTCTGGACTGCGGCCACAACTTCTGTCGCTCCTGTGTCACCGGGAGCTGGGAAAAGAAGGAGAAAAACTCCTGTCCGATATGTCACCAAGTTACTGTGGAGAGGAACCTCCAGGTCAATTGGGCTCTGGCCAAAATGGTGGAGAAAGTTCGTAAATTCAGTCTGGACCCGTCACAGACGGCAGTTAAACGTCAGTGTGAGAAACACCGGGAGGACCTGAAGCTGTTCTGTGAAGATGACAAGAAATTGATCTGTTCCATTTGCAGATATGCGAAAGAGCACAAAGGTCACAGCTTAATGCCCATTGACGAAGCGGCTGAAATCTACAAGGTACCGAGACCCTCACGAGGGATTCATTCCGTTTCCACGTCAGATTTTCCCCTCAAACACTGTTATTCTGTGCGTTTATTCCAGGATCAAGTGAAGTCCTCCATAGCTTCTCTCACACAGAGGAAGGAAATAGCTCTACAAACTGAAGCCAAACAGAGAGAAAAGATTTCACAAGTTAAGGTAAAGTTGTGTCGGGGCTTATGTCTGTCAGTGTGTCTCTGGTTACTGTGTGTACACGGTGGGATATCTCAGGTCTCTGGTTACTGTGTGTACACGGTGGGATGTCTCGGTGTCTCTAGTTACTGTTTGTAATGGTTGGATGTCTCTGGTCTTTGGTTACTGTTTGTACACAGTGTGATGTCTCAGGTTTCTGGTTACTGTGTGTACACGGTGTGATGTCTCGGTGTCTCTGGTTACTACGTGTACACGGTGGGATGTCGCGGTGTCTCTGGTTACTGTGTGTACACGGGGGGATGTCTCAGGTCTCTGGTTACTGTGTGTACACGGTGGGATACCTCAGTCTCTGGTTACTGTGTGTACACGGTGTGATGTCTCAGGTCTCTGGTTACTGTGTGTACACGGTGTGATGTCTCAGGTCTCTGGTTACTGTGTGTACACGGTGGGACGTTTCAGGTCTCTGGTTACTGTGTGTAATGGTTGGATGTCTGTCATTTTCAGGAACAGGTGAAGAGTGTGCAAACTCACGTCACGGCTAAATTTGCTAAAATGCACCAGAGTCTGACTGACAGAGAGCAGCGAGTGATGGGGGATCTCAGACAGAGAGAGGAGGAGATTCTAAAGCGAATGGAGACAACTCTGCGAGAGATTCAGGAAAAGTTAGAGTCGGTGGAGCAAGAAATCTCCGAGTTACAGACACAGATGGGGAAAGACGCTCTCACCTTCCTGCAGGTAAAGAGATGACATTATAATGCAGTTCAGTCACAGATACACACAGTCGGGAGCCGAGAAACTAATTGTGATTGACAAAGAGATCATAGATTGAATTGGGATGTGGGAGACGCTGTAAACATGTAATCTGCTGTTGTTGTTGGTGTCTCAGTGTGAGCTGACATCTGTCTGTGTTTGATTTCATTAGGAGGAATCTGCTGCCAACAGAAGGTATGGAATGAACTTTACCAAATATCCCAGAATTGAACCCACAAACCGCCCACAAGGTGCAGTTTCACTCTATAATGTGATGGGGTCTTGTTTCAGGGTCAGTGACGAGGGGTTTGATTTGTCGGTGTGTGAGGCTGAGCTGCCGGTGGCCAAGTACCAGTGGCCTTTGGACAACACCGTCTGGAGAGAGATTATAGACAGCGTCAGTCCAGGTACACGTCTCCCATTCTCACCCTGAAGCCGTGTCAATAGCCTTCCATTGACAACACATCGCCCCACACACTCCCTCACACACACTCCCTCACACACATACACACACACACCCCTCAGACACACGCCACTCAAACACACCTATTACACAGGAGGCGAGAGCACAAGTCTGAGGAGGTGGAGCAGGAGGGGATATATTCGAGGTTGAAGTGGCCGAGGAGGATGAGGGGGTGGGAGCAGAGGCAGAGTGAGGCGAGGAGAGTGGAGGGGTCACAGATGAAGGTGGGGGGGGTGGTTTTGGGGGCAGTACATTAGGATGTTAGAGAGAGGGGAGGGATGGCGGAGGGTGAGGTGTTGGAAAGAGGGGAGTGAGCGGTGAAGTAGGGGGACAGGGCCAGTGACGCCCTGGAGATGAGTGCCACCCCACCACCATGACCGTTGGGGCGGGGGCTATGGTGGGAGGTGTAGCGGGTGGTGTGGCCTCATTGAGGGGGAAGGTGTCACCGAGGGTGAGCCATAATGTCAATGGCCTCACCCCTCACACACCCCCTCACACACACCCACACACAGATCCTCACGCACACCCATACACACCCTCACACACATCCACACACACCACCTCACACACACCCTCACACACACCCACACACACAGCCTCACACACTCATAACCCCCCTCACACACCCCCTCAAACACACCCTCACACACACACCCTCACAGACTCCCTCACACACACACCCTCACACACACCCTCAAACACATCCTCACAAACCCCCTCACACACACCACCTCGCACACCCCCTCACACACACCCTCACACAGCCCCTCAAACACATCCTCACACACCCCCTCACACACAGACCCTCACACACACTCACGCACCCCATCGCACCCCCTCATACACACCCCCTCACACACCCCATCACACACTCATATACCCCCTTACGCACACCCTCACACACACCCACACACACACTCACCCACACACACACCCTGACACACCACCTCACACAAACCCTCAGACACCCCCTCACACACAACCACACGCGCACCCTCACACACACCCACACACACACCCTCACACAGACCCTCACACACACCCTCACACACTACCAAACACGCCCCCTCACACACACCCACACACACCCTCACACACACCCACACACACACCCTCACACACACCCTCACACATCCCCTCACACACCCACATACACACCCTCACACACACCCTCACACACACCCACACACACCCTCACACACACCCAGACACACACCCTCACACACACCAACAGACACCCTCACACACACCCACACACACCCCCTCACACACACGCTCACACATCCCCTCACACACACACACACCCTCAAACACACCCACACACACACCCACAAGCACTCCCACCCACTCCCTCGCACACACCCTCACACACACCCACACACACACCCTCACACACTCATAAACCCCCTCACAAACACACTCACAGACACCCTCACACACCTCCTCATACCCCCTCTCACACACCCACACACACCCTCTCACACACTCATAAACCCACTCACTCACACCCTCACACACACCCACACACGGAAACTCACACACCCATAAACCACCTCACACACACACTTACAATTCGCCTCACTCACACACCCCCTCACACACCCACATACACCCCTCTCACACCCCCTCACATACCCCCTCACACATAATCACACACCCCCTCACACATCTCCTCACACAACACCTCACGCACACCCACACACACCCCTCACACACACCATCACATACCCCCTCACACACCCTCACACACCCTCACACACACTCTCACATAGCCCCTCACACACCCCCTCACACTCCCACACACTCACACATCCCCTCACACACCCACACACCGATAAAACCTCACACACACACCCTCACACACCCCATCACACACACACACACTCACTCACACCCCCCCCATCACACACCCCCTCACACACACCCACACACCCCTTCACACACCCACACACTCACACACCCCCTCACACACACCCACACACCCCCTCACACACACCCTCACATACCCCCTCACACACCCCCTCACACACACACTCACAAATCCTCTCACTCACACACACCCTCACACGCACCCTCACACAAACCCTCCCGCACACCCTCACATACACACTCAAACATATACTCACACACACCTTCACACAACCCCCCCACACGCACACACACATCATCACACACACACACCCTCACATACCCCCTTACACACACCCTCACACAGACACACTCACACACATCCTCACACACACCCTCACAGAGCCCCTCACAAAGACACGTCACACACACCCGGACGCAAACCCTCATACAACCCCTCACTCCCCCTCAGGCATACAACCTCTCACACTCCATCACACTCCCCCTCAAACAAATCATTACACAGACCCTCCAATAACCCTCACACAACATCATACACACACCCTCAGACATACCCTCAGACATACCCTCACACACACCCACACCGTCACACACCTACTCATAAAACCTCTCCCACACACACTCACACCGCCCCCACCCTCCGCACACACAGCCTCACATACACCCTCATAAAACCCCTCACACACCCTCACGCACAACCTCTCACATTCCCACATACACCCCTTCAAACAGACCATCACGCAGACCCTCACATACCCTTCACACACACAACCTCACACACACCCTCACACATACCCTCAGAAACACAAACATCCCCACACATAAACCCTCAGAAACACCCTCACACACAGACCCTCTCATAAACACCCTCACAAACCACCTTACACACACCCTCACACGCGCCCTCACACAGACGGTGACCCTCGGGGTTGGATGGTGTCTCCGGTTGTAGATGTGTTCACACACCTTCTGAGCTCCAGACGTCCCCTCACTCCACGTTTTGTTGTGTCTCTCTCTCAGCTCCGGTCTCTCTGACTCTGGATCCCGACACCGCCCATCCCCGACTCATCCTATCTGAGGACCTGACCAGCGTGAGGACCGGAGACACACGGCAGCAGCTCCCGGACGGTCCCAAGAGGTTTGATACCTGTCCCTGTGTCCTGGGATCTGAGGGCTTCACATCGGGGAGACATTACTGGGAGGTGCAGGTGGGCAACAAGACACAGTGGGATGTGGGATTGTCCCGAGTATCCATCAACAGGAAAGGAAAGATCACACTGTCACCAGAGAACGGATTCTGGGTTGTGGTACTGAGAAACGGGGATAATTATTTCGCTGGTACCTATCCCCCCACTCTCCTGTCCCTGAGGGACAGACCCGGGAAGGTGGGAGTGTTCCTGGACTATGAGGGGGGAGAGGTGACCTTTTACAACGCCGATAACATGTCTCATCTCCACACTTTCACCCACACTTTCACTGAGAAGCTTTATCCTTACTTCGAACCCTGTGAAGGTGACCCTCTGAGGATCTGTCGGGTGACGGATTGATGAGGAGGGAACACTCAGCCGTGACCTGTGTTTGGCGGTGATGGCCACGAGGCTGAACCTTCATAGTCTGTGTCGCTGTACAATAAAGATTGTGGTTTATGTCACACAGTTCACACTGAAAGTTTGGGTTAATATCAATGATATAAATACGGTATTGCATTGTTATTACTGAGGACGTTGTGGGCGGTTACACAGTGCAGCGCCGCCTCTGGGGGCAGTTCAGTGGTACTCAGGTGCTTATGTGGGAGTTGTACCCCAAGTAATAATAATAATAATAATAATCATTGCATTTGATACAGCGCTTTTCACGTCTTCTCGACGACCCCCGAAGCGCTTCATGGCACAGACTGCAGAGTGTAGTGACTGTGTATTTGTGGGCGAACGCGGCGGCCGATTGCGCGCAGCGGCGTCGGTCCCACACGCGGTCGTGGGTTGAAAGTGACCCCATTTGCGATTGTTTTTGTTGCGGAGAGGATCGTTATTAGGGCCGTGTGTGGGGTCAGGAAACTCGCCCGAGGTCCGGCACTGACCCCCCGGGGATTGAACCCGGGTCTCTCGCTGCACAGCGAGTGCTCTCACCCCTGAGCCACAGGACCCCACAGAGCAAATCACAGCAAACGGTTATTCCCCTCAAACCCACGACGGCCGCCGGAGAGACGGAGAAGCGGTGAACGGCCGTCGGGGTCCGACCGCTCTCCGGCATTAGACGGCGATGACCGGACCCGGGGCCGGAGCCGCACCGGTAATGTCGGGGGATTCGGTGGGAAACCCTTCACCGACACAAACGCCGAACGGGAACGGAAAGGGATCCGTCAGTGATCACCGACACTGAGGAGGAGCTCCGAGTCGCGATCCTCCGCGAAGGGGAGAAATAAATAGTTTATTGGTTTGTATCGGGAAACTCTGTCCCTCTCTCTCTCTCTCTCTCTCACTCACTCTCTCTCTCTCTGTGTCCCTCTCTCTATCTCTCTCTCTCCCGCTCTCACTCACTCTCTCTCTGTCCCTCTCTCACATTCTCTCTCTATCTGTCCCTCTATCTGTCTCTCTCTGTCCCTCTCACATTCTCTCTCTCGCTCTCTGTCCCTCTCACATTCTCTCTCTCTCTCTATCTCTGTCCCTCTCTCACTCTCTCTCTCTCTCTCTCCGCTGTGGACAGAGAGAAAGAGTGAGTGTGAGAGAGAGACAGTAAAGGAGTATTTCTGTGCCTTTCTGAAGCACATCGGCGGCCATCTTGGTAAAGGCGGGGGAGCCGGGCAGTGACGTCATGTGATGAAGTAAGCGGTCGGGTGGCCGCCATCTTGGTGAAGGCGGGGGAGCCGGGCAGTGACGTCATGTGATGACGCGGGCAGTAGGGCAGCAGTTGCAGCCCCGAGTCCCGCCCACAACTCCGAGCCCCGCCCACTGTCCCGGAGCCCCGCCCATTTACCTAAAGCTGATTTGGATTAATTAAGGGTGGGGCCGGTGTTGGGCAAACAACAATATTAAAAAAATGAGAGTTTCCTCCACATACTAAATTAAAATGGCTTTTTTAAAAGAGCGGACGGACTGCGTTCGGCCAACAGTCTGACTTCGGATCAAAGACTATGAGACTTTGTTAAAGGCCATTAACATTGAGCACTGCCTCAGATACACAGTATTCAGACACTGACTCAAACTGCAGAGAAACAAAGAAGACCACAGGATCACGTGGTCCTAAAGCTGTCAATCAGACAGACACATAGCGACAAACTAAACGACAACAGATAACACAAAACATTCATGAACCTGAGCCAATTCGATACTAACCGTAACCCCTAATCTCTAAATCCTAACCTCTAAACCCCAACCCCAACCCCTAACCTGTGTGGGTGTGTGGGTGTGTGTGCGTGTGTGTATGTGTGTGTGTGTGTGGATGTGTGTGTCTCTCTCTCACACTCTCACTCTCTCTCTCACATTCTCTGTCAAACTGTGTGTGGGGTGTGTGTGTGGGGGTGTGTGTGTGAAGTGTGTGGTGTGTATGTGTGTGGGGTATATGTGGGTGTGGTGTCTGTGTGTGTGAGGTGGGTGTGAGTGTGTGTGGGTGTGTGGGTGTGGGTGTGTGTGTGGGGTGTGTGTGGGGTGTGTGTGTGTGTGTGATGTGTGTGGTGTGTATGTGTGTGGGGTGTGTGGGTGTGTTTGTGTGTGTGTGTGTGGGTGTGGGTGTGTGTGGGTGTGGGTGTGTGGGTGTGTTTATGTGTGTGGATGTGTGTGGGTGTGTGTGGGGGTGTGTGGGTGTGTGTGGTTGTGTTTGTGTGGGTGTGTGGGTGTGTGGGTGTGTGTGCGTGTGTGTATGTGTGTGTGTGTGTGGATGTGTGTGTCTCTCTCTCACACTCTCACTCTCTCACACTCTCTGTCAAACTGTGTGTGGGGTGTGTGTGTGTGGGGGGGTGTGTGTGAAGTGTGTGGTGTGTATGTGTGTGGGGTATCTGTGGGTGTGGTGTCTGTGTGTGTGAGGTGGGTGTGAGTGTGTGTGGGTGTGTGGGTGTGGGTGTGTGTGTGGGGTGTGTGTGGGGTGTGTGTGTGTGTGTGATGTGTGTGGTGTGTATGTGTGTGGGGTGTGGGTGTGTTTGTGTGTGTGTGTGTGTGGGTGTGGGTGTGTGTGGGTGTGGGTGTGTGGGTGTGTTTATGTGTGTGGATGTGTGTGGGTGTGTGTGGGTGTGTGTGGGTATGTGTGTTTGTGTGGGTGTGTGGGTGTGTGGGTGTGTGTGCGTGTGTGTATGTGTGTGTGTGTGTGGATGTGTGTGTCTCTCTCTCACACTCTCACTCTCTCTCTCACACTCTCTGTCAAACTGTGTGTGGGGTGTGTGTGTGTGGGGGGGGTGTGTGTGAAGTGTGTGGTGTGTATGTGTGTGGGGTATATGTGGGTGTGGTGTCTGTGTGTGTGAGGTGGGTGTGAGTGTGTGTGGGTGTGTGGGTGTGTGTGGGGTGTGTGTGGGGTGTGTGTGTGTGTGATGTGTGTGGTGTGTATGTGTGTGGGGTGTGTGTGTGATGTGTGTGGTGTGTATGTGTGTGTGGGTTGTGTGTCGGTGTGGTGTGTGTGTGTATTTTTTTGGCTAACAACATAGAAAAATAATCAGAGTTTCCTCCTCAAACTAAATTAAAATGGCTTTTTTAAAAGAGCGGACGGACTGCGTTCGGCCAACAGTCTGACTTCGGATCAAAGACTTTGAGTCTTTGTTAAAGGCCATTAACATTGAGCACTGCCTCAGATCCACAGTATTCAGACACTGACTCAAACTGAAGAGAAACAAAGAAGACCACAGGATCACGTGGTCCTAAAGCTGTTAATCAGACAGACAAATAGCGACAAATTAAACGACAACAGATATCACAAAATATTCATTCACATTCAAATTCGATACGAATACTAACTCTAACACTAACACTAACACCTAAACCCTAACCACGAACATCTAAATCCTAACCCCTAACCCTAACAACTAACCCTAACCCCTGCCCCTAACCCCTAACCCCTAACATCTAAACCTCTAAACCTAACCCCTAACCCTAACCATAAACCCTAAACCCTAGCTCTGAACGCTAACCCGAGACCCTAACCGTGAAACCTAACCAAAAATCCTAACCCTAAACCGGAACCCTAACCCTAACCCTACCCATAACGCCTAACACCAAACCCTAAGCCTAACGCTAACCCCTAACACCTAACACTACCCCTACAACAACAACAAGATTTCATTTATTGAGCTCCTTTCACGTCGGGAGGACGTCCCAAGGCGCTGTACAGTTGGGTCAGGACCCGAGCAGGGGGACATGGTCAGGGTGAGCGGAGGGAAGGGAGGGAGAGAGGAGGGGGGACATGGTCACGGTGAGGGGAGGGAAGGGAGGGAGAGAGGAGGGGGGACATGGTCACGGTGAGGGGAGGGAAGGCAAGGATCGAGGAGGTGGTAGAGAGTCGAGAGGGGAGCTGAAGGCTCCGTCGAAGAGAAAGGTCTTGAGACCGGCCTTGAAGGTGGAAAGGGAGGAGGTGGCGAAGGCACTGGGGATAGAGTTCCAGAGCCTCGGGGCTGAGAGGCTGAAGGCCAACGATAGTAGGTCGGTTGGGGCGGTGGATGTGGAGCAGACAGGAGGCAGAGGAACGGAGGGTACGGGTGGGTAGGTAGGGGGATAACAGGTCGGAGAGGCAGGAGGGAGCGACGCCGTGAAAGGCCTTGTAGGTGAGGGCGAGGATCTTGAATTCGATCCTCTGGGGGAAGGGGAGCCAGTGGAGGTGAGCGAGGGCGAGGGCGAGGATGGGAGTGATGTGGTGCGGGACAGTACACGAGCTGCAGAGTTCTGAATGACCTACAGTGTGGAGGGAGGGCCGTGAAGGCCGCGAGGAGTGAGGTCCCATAGTCCAGCCTTGAGGTGATAAAGGCGTGGACCAGAGTTTCAGACACGTGAGGGATGAGGCAGTGCCGTAGTCTGGCGATATTCCGAAGGTGATGGAAGGTGATACCCCTAACCCCTAAACCGCAAACCCTAACCCAAACCCTAAGCCCTAACAAAATCCCATCACCCCTACACCTAACCCCAAACAGCTAAGCCCTAAACATAAAGCTAACCCTAACCACAATGCCTAAGCCTAAACCTAACCTTAAGACTAACCCTATCCATAAACCTAAGACTTACACCCCCTAATCTTAAACCCCCTAACCCTAAACAGCCTAACCCTAACACCTCTAAACCTAAATCCCTAACCCTAAACTCCCTAACCCTAAACACCCTAAGCCTATCCCCCTAATGCTAAGCCTAACCCTAAACCCAATAACGTTAACACTAACCCTAACCCCACTAATCTTAACCCTAATCCTAACGCCTAACTCCTGACTCTAAAACTAACCCCTAACCCTAAACGTAACCCATAAACCCTAACCCTAATCCTAACCCATAACCATAACCCTAAACCCTAACCCCTAACACTAACACATAACGCTAACCCCTGAACCGTAACCCTAACGTAAAACACGTAACCCTAACCCTAATCTCTTAACCTTAACACTTAACACTAGGGATCCGATCCCTAACCCTAACCACTAACCCCAACGCAAATCCTCAACCTAAACTTAACCTTCACCATAACGCAACCCAAA